GAAAATTTTAAAATCCTATAATATGCAGAAAAATCTGCTTTATCCAGGAAAAATAACTTCGGCCCGAACCGCCGGCAAAAATCCAGAAAAAATTTCGAAAAACCGAAAAATTTTGGGTTTTTCGAAATTTGACCCCTACACCTCCAGTTTAGACTTTTTTCGAAATTTTTTGGGCTCAAAAAATTTCTAATTTTTGTCTCTATTTTATAAAGGAAACCCCATTCCATTTCCTTTATCCCAAAAAAAGTTATTTCAAATTTAAAAATCCCTAAAATACCCCAAAAGGGGTACCCCTTTTGAAAAATTCGAGGGGTCAAAAAATTTCGAATTTTGACCAAAAAACGGCCTATATGGTACTCTTACACCCGCTGAATCCATATCCGGTGTCAGAAAAATTCTAAAAAATTTCCCCAAGAAGTTACAGTCAATTAAAGTTTCGCGACATTTGCGAACATTGGCCATAACTTTTTCAGACTCAAACAGACCCCCGACATATTATACCTTTTTAGAACCCCCAAAAGACGCTCTACAACATAGGATTTCAAAAAAACCTGAAACGACAAATTTTGAGAATTGGAGCCATCCTTCCCTATTTTACATTGGGCCATTTTGAACTGGGTTGGTACAAAATTTTCGAATTACGACCCAAAAAATATCCTATATGGTACTCTGATACCCGCTGAATCCATATCCGGTCTCAGAAAAATTTTAAAAAATTTCCCCAAGAAGTTACAGGCAATTAAAGTTTCGCGACATTTGCGAACATTGGCCATAACTTTTTCAGACTCAAATGGACCTTCGACATATTATACCTTTTTCGGACCGTCAGGGGACGCTCTATAACATAGGATATCGAAATCGAGTTTCAATTCACTTTTCGCGATTGGAGCCATCCTTCCCAATTTTACAAGCCCCAATTTTGAACCTTTAAATTACTGTAACTTGGTCCAAAGTGGTCCAAAAAATTTGAACTAAAATTCCCCGAACTCAGCTCACTCAGAGCTTTCATTTGAGGTATCACACATGAATTGTCGATGAGTTTCGAAAATTTCGACTTTACCGACAGGGGGGGAATTTCACCGAAGTCCGAATTTTTGCCCCCCAATAAGTACCCTCCAAATTCGAATTTCGACTTCGAGTTTTTTCCTACATATATTAGCTTGCTCTAACTTAATTTCCTACCAGCAGAAATTTTCCGCTAACCCCACTCATTCAAAAGATAGCCCCGGTACCTATATTATTTAGGTACCTAAACGTGACCTCAAAGAATTCGACATAATTTTCCTAGATGTGCCATAAAAAGTTGTAGGACTAATGTACAACTCAAAAAAATTCACGAGCAAACCTTAATCAGATCTGAGTTTTTAAACCACTTTCCCAGCAAAATGATTGGCGTCCACCCCAGAAAAAACCAATACTTTTATAGGAATATATAAACCACTGGGGTGCCTATTACGATACTGTGGCGGTAAAAAACATCGGGGGGTTCTTTAAATTACGATACTTCTGCCCGTTGGAAAGCCTAACGGCTTTGGGGGCGCGCTTCGCGCGCCGCTAGTAATTTTTTATGCCTGGAACAAAAGATTAGCCTTGAGTTGGGACTCATCCATCCATTTAGAGTCACTTCGGGACTTCGGCCCTCGTCTTCCCCTCATTTGACTCATCCTTCCACTTAGAGTCACTTCGGGCCTTCGGCCCTCGTCTTCCTCCCATTTGGACTCATCCTTCCACTTAGACTCATCCTTCCACCCTTTGGCCCTACCTTTTAGATGGGTGTCAGCTCGGGCCTTCGGCCCTCGCCCTTCTTTTTAGATGGGTGTCAGCTCGGGCCTTCGGCCCTCGCCCTCCCTTTTAGATGGGTGTCAGCTCGGGCCTTCGGCCCTCGCCCTTCCTTTTAGATGGGTGTCAGCTCGGGCCTTCGGCCCTCGCCCTTCCTTTTAGACTCATCCTTCCACTTAGACCCTTGTCTTTTTCATTATTAGGACTCATCCTTTCACTTAGAGTCACTTCGGACTCATCCTTCCACTTAGACCATTGTCTTTTCTTTATTCGGGTTCATCTCTCACTTTGAGTCACTTCGGACTCATCCTTCCACTTAGACCCTTGTCATTTCTTTATTCGGACTCATCCTTTCACTTAGAGTCACTTCGGGCCTTAGCCCTCGTCTTCCCCTCGATTGGACTCATCCTCTCAAGGAGAACAAAATTTCGAAGCAGAAACTGCTTCACGAAGCAATTTCTGCTTCGGATTCATAACAGGATCCAGCTTATCTTACCACAAAATTTTCCCCAATATACAAAATTCACCCCTAAGTTCTTCACCGGTTTGCCCGGCATGGTTAGAGACGGAGAAAAATTTCGTCTCTCTGCCATCAACTTCTACTGTCAATCATTTTTCCTCTTTCCGTCCCATCATTCTCCGGGTACGGTACTCAACCCACAAATTTTCGAACATTTGTAACTTCGTCAAAATGTACCGAAAAATTTTGAAAAAAATATTTTTATACCCAGCTCGATAAGAGCTTTCGAATGATATCTCATTTGCCATATCTATTTTGATTTTTAAAATTAAAATTTTTTAGCCGGAAATTTCTGCATGAAAAATTCACTAAAATTTTCAAAAAATCATATCTCACCTAAAGTATATCTTTTTTGAAAATTTTAAATTCTTATTAGATACAGAAAAATAAATTTTTAAAAATTTTAAAACTTATCCGATGCCTTCGGCCCTCACCCTCTCTTTTAGATGGCTTTCAGCTCGGGCCTTCGGCCCTCGCCCTTCCTTTTAGATGGGTGTCAGCTCGGGCCTTCGGCCCTCGCCTTCCCTTTTAGATGGGTGTCAGCTCGGGCCTTCGGCCCTCGCCCTTCCTTTTAGATGTGTGTCAGCTCGGGCCTTCGGCCCTCGCCCTTCCTTTTAGATGTGTGTCAGCTCGGGCCTTCGGCCCTCGCCTCCCCTTTTCGCCCTCCCTTTTAGATGGGTGTCAGCTCGGGCCTTCGGCCCTCGCCCTCCCTTTTAGATGTGTGTCAGCTCGGGCCTTCGGCCCCGCCCTTACTTTTAGATGGGTGTCAGCTCGGGCCTTCGGCCCTCGCCGTTCCTTTTAGATGTGTGTTGGGACTCGTCCTTCAACTTAGAGTCATTTCGGGCCTTCGGCCCTCGTCTTTCACTCATTCGGACTCATCTTTCCATTTAGAGTCACTTAGGGCCTTCGACCCTCGTGTTCCCTCAGTTGGGACTCGTCCTTCCACTTAGAGTCACTTATGACTCATCCTTCCACTTAGACACTTGTCTTTGCTTTTTTCGGACTCATCCTTCCATTTAGACTCACAAATTCTAATCACAAATCAAAATTTTAAAAGCTGAAGCAAATTTGCTTCAAGTTTCAAAAATTTAAAACTTGAAGCAAATTTGTTTCATGCTTCAAATTTCAAAACTTGAAGCAAAAACACGAAGCAGAAGCATGCTTCTGCTTCGGATCCATAACAGGATCCAGCTTATCTACCAAAAAAATTTTCTCCAACTTACAGAATTCAGCCCTAAGTTCTTCGCCGGTTTGCCCGGCATGGTCAGAGACGGAGAAAATTTTCGCCTATCTGCTATCAATTTCACCTGTCAATCATTTTTTCTCTCTCCCTACCATAATTCTCCCGATACTGTACTCCGCCCCACAAATTTTAGAACCTCTATACTTTCGTCAAAATGCCCCCAAAAATTTCGAAAAAAATATTTTTTTATCCAGCTTAATAAGAGCTTTCGAATGATATATCATTTGACATATCTATCTTGATTTTTAAAATTTAAATTTTTTGGCTGGAAATTTCTGAAGGAAAAACTCACTGAAATTTTCAAAAAATCATAACTTTTTCAAAATAGCCCTTTTTTGGAAATTTTAAAATCCTATCCGATGCAGAAAAATCTGCTCAATCCAGGAAAAATACACATAGCCTTAACCACTTGCAAAAATCACGAAAAATTTTCAAAAACCCGAAAAATTTTGGGTTTTTCGAAAATTGGCCCCTACGGGTCAGTTTTGACTTTTTTCGAAATTTTTTTATCTCAAAAAATTCCTAATTTTTTGCCCAATTTTATAAAGTAACCCGCATGCAAAAATCCCTATCCCTTCCAAAGTTATGGCGATTTAAAAAATCCCGAAAATCCCCCAGGAGGGGTACCCCTTTGGAAAAATTCGGGGGTAAAAAATTTTAAATTTTGACACAAAAAACATGTTTTATAGTGTATTCGTACCTGCTGAGTACGAATCCGTTGTCGGAAAAATTCTAAAAATTTTTTTAACAAAGTTAGAGTCTGAAAACCATTTCAGTCTCAGACTCAAATCGCGAATACTTTACTAAAAACTTCGAAATTCGAAATTTTTTTAATCCCATTGAACTCCCCTCATTATCCCCTCTTGAATGAGTACTCATTCAGCTATATCCACTTAAATCTCAAATCCCGGATTTCGAAGTTCGAACTCCGAACTTCGACTTTCAACATTATCCTATATCTCATTAGACTCCCCTGATCATACCCTCTTGAATGAATACTCATCGACCTTACTTCCCACCCCCGAAAATCCCGGATTTAGAAGTTCGAACTCGAACTTCGACTTTCGACTTAATCCTATATCCCATTAGACTCCCCTCACTTCCAGCTGTCGAACGACTACCCTCTTGCCCATACTTCCTTATCCCGAAAATCCCGGATTTCGAAGTTCGAACTCCGAACTTCGACTTTCTTCTTAATCCTTTATCCCATTCAACTCCCCTGATCATCCCCTCTTGAATGACAACCCACTCACCCATACTTCCCAAACCCGAAAATCCCGGATTTCGAGGTTCGAACTCCGAAGTTCGACTTTAGACATTATGCGATATCCCACTAGGCTCTCCTCATTATCCCCTTTTTAATGAGTACTCATTCGACCCCAATTCCCAATGCCGAAAATCCCGTATTTCGAAGTTCGAACTCCGAACTTCGACTTTCGGCTTTATCCCTTATCCCTTTCAACTCCCCTCACTCCCAGCTCTCGGACGACTACCCTCTTGCCCATACCTCCCAATCCCGAAAATCCCGGATTTCAAGTTCGACTTCGAACTTCGACTTTTATCCTTATACCTTATCCCTCTAAACTCCCCTCACTCCCAGCTCTCGAACGACTACCCACACACCCATATATCTTAACCCCGAAAATCCCGGATTTCGAAGTTCGAACTCCGAACTTCGACTTTCGGCTTTACCATATATCCCATTCAACTCCCCTCTTTATCCGCTTTCGAATGAATACTCATTCGACCATATTCGATAATCCCTAAAAATCCCGAAATCCCGGATCCCTAATTTCGAAATCCCCATATAATTTCCCCCAAATTACCCTCCCTCAACTCGAAACTTGCTTAAGTTTCGAGATCCCACTATTTTAACTCGAAATTTCTCCTATCAATCAAAATTTCTCTCTCACCTATGAGATTTGCCTCCTGGCTTTCCTCAATTTAGAGAAATCCGACAATTATCGGTAAGACAATTTTCTTACAAAAATTTTTGCCCCCCTATAAGTACCCCTAAAGTTCGAATTTCGGATTTGAAATTTTTCCTACCCATATCTACCTATCCCAACTTAGAGACGGAGAAAAATTTCGTCTCTCTGCCATCAACTTCTACTGTCAATCATTTTTCCTCTTTCCGTCCCATCATTCTCCGGGTACGGTACTCAACCCACAAATTTTCGAACATTTGTAACTTCGTCAAAATGTACCGAAAAATTTTGAAAAAAATATTTTTATACCCAGCTCGATAAGAGCTTTCGAATGATATCTCATTTGCCATATCTATTTTGATTTTTAAAATTAAAATTTTTTAGCCGGAAATTTCTGCATGAAAAATTCACTAAAATTTTCAAAAAATCATATCTCACCTAAAGTATATCTTTTTTGAAAATTTTAAATTCTTATTAGATACAGAAAAATAAATTTTTAAAAATTTTAAAACTTATCCGATGCCTTCGGCCCTCACCCTCTCTTTTAGATGGCTTTCAGCTCGGGCCTTCGGCCCTCGCCCTTCCTTTTAGATGGGTGTCAGCTCGGGCCTTCGGCCCTCGCCTTCCCTTTTAGATGGGTGTCAGCTCGGGCCTTCGGCCCTCGCCCTTCCTTTTAGATGTGTGTCAGCTCGGGCCTTCGGCCCTCGCCCTTCCTTTTAGATGTGTGTCAGCTCGGGCCTTCGGCCCTCGCCTCCCCTTTTCGCCCTCCCTTTTAGATGGGTGTCAGCTCGGGCCTTCGGCCCTCGCCCTCCCTTTTAGATGTGTGTCAGCTCGGGCCTTCGGCCCCGCCCTTACTTTTAGATGGGTGTCAGCTCGGGCCTTCGGCCCTCGCCGTTCCTTTTAGATGTGTGTTGGGACTCGTCCTTCAACTTAGAGTCATTTCGGGCCTTCGGCCCTCGTCTTTCACTCATTCGGACTCATCTTTCCATTTAGAGTCACTTAGGGCCTTCGACCCTCGTGTTCCCTCAGTTGGGACTCGTCCTTCCACTTAGAGTCACTTATGACTCATCCTTCCACTTAGACACTTGTCTTTGCTTTTTTCGGACTCATCCTTCCATTTAGACTCACAAATTCTAATCACAAATCAAAATTTTAAAAGCTGAAGCAAATTTGCTTCAAGTTTCAAAAATTTAAAACTTGAAGCAAATTTGTTTCATGCTTCAAATTTCAAAACTTGAAGCAAAAACACGAAGCAGAAGCATGCTTCTGCTTCGGATCCATAACAGGATCCAGCTTATCTACCAAAAAAATTTTCTCCAACTTACAGAATTCAGCCCTAAGTTCTTCGCCGGTTTGCCCGGCATGGTCAGAGACGGAGAAAATTTTCGCCTATCTGCTATCAATTTCACCTGTCAATCATTTTTTCTCTCTCCCTACCATAATTCTCCCGATACTGTACTCCGCCCCACAAATTTTAGAACCTCTATACTTTCGTCAAAATGCCCCCAAAAATTTCGAAAAAAATATTTTTTTATCCAGCTTAATAAGAGCTTTCGAATGATATATCATTTGACATATCTATCTTGATTTTTAAAATTTAAATTTTTTGGCTGGAAATTTCTGAAGGAAAAACTCACTGAAATTTTCAAAAAATCATAACTTTTTCAAAATAGCCCTTTTTTGGAAATTTTAAAATCCTATCCGATGCAGAAAAATCTGCTCAATCCAGGAAAAATACACATAGCCTTAACCACTTGCAAAAATCACGAAAAATTTTCAAAAACCCGAAAAATTTTGGGTTTTTCGAAAATTGGCCCCTACGGGTCAGTTTTGACTTTTTTCGAAATTTTTTTATCTCAAAAAATTCCTAATTTTTTGCCCAATTTTATAAAGTAACCCGCATGCAAAAATCCCTATCCCTTCCAAAGTTATGGCGATTTAAAAAATCCCGAAAATCCCCCAGGAGGGGTACCCCTTTGGAAAAATTCGGGGGTAAAAAATTTTAAATTTTGACACAAAAAACATGTTTTATAGTGTATTCGTACCTGCTGAGTACGAATCCGTTGTCGGAAAAATTCTAAAAATTTTTTTAACAAAGTTAGAGTCTGAAAACCATTTCAGTCTCAGACTCAAATCGCGAATACTTTACTAAAAACTTCGAAATTCGAAATTTTTTTAATCCCATTGAACTCCCCTCATTATCCCCTCTTGAATGAGTACTCATTCAGCTATATCCACTTAAATCTCAAATCCCGGATTTCGAAGTTCGAACTCCGAACTTCGACTTTCAACATTATCCTATATCTCATTAGACTCCCCTGATCATACCCTCTTGAATGAATACTCATCGACCTTACTTCCCACCCCCGAAAATCCCGGATTTAGAAGTTCGAACTCGAACTTCGACTTTCGACTTAATCCTATATCCCATTAGACTCCCCTCACTTCCAGCTGTCGAACGACTACCCTCTTGCCCATACTTCCTTATCCCGAAAATCCCGGATTTCGAAGTTCGAACTCCGAACTTCGACTTTCTTCTTAATCCTTTATCCCATTCAACTCCCCTGATCATCCCCTCTTGAATGACAACCCACTCACCCATACTTCCCAAACCCGAAAATCCCGGATTTCGAGGTTCGAACTCCGAAGTTCGACTTTAGACATTATGCGATATCCCACTAGGCTCTCCTCATTATCCCCTTTTTAATGAGTACTCATTCGACCCCAATTCCCAATGCCGAAAATCCCGTATTTCGAAGTTCGAACTCCGAACTTCGACTTTCGGCTTTATCCCTTATCCCTTTCAACTCCCCTCACTCCCAGCTCTCGGACGACTACCCTCTTGCCCATACCTCCCAATCCCGAAAATCCCGGATTTCAAGTTCGACTTCGAACTTCGACTTTTATCCTTATACCTTAGCCCTCTAAACTCCCCTCACTCCCAGCTCTCGAACGACTACCCACACACCCATATATCTTAACCCCGAAAATCCCGGATTTCGAAGTTCGAACTCCGAACTTCGACTTTCGGCTTTACCATATATCCCATTCAACTCCCCTCTTTATCCGCTTTCGAATGAATACTCATTCGACCATATTCGATAATCCCTAAAAATCCCGAAATCCCGGATCCCTAATTTCGAAATCCCCATATAATTTCCCCCAAATTACCCTCCCTCAACTCGAAACTTGCTTAAGTTTCGAGATCCCACTATTTTAACTCGAAATTTCTCCTATCAATCAAAATTTCTCTCTCACCTATGAGATTTGCCTCCTGGCTTTCCTCAATTTAGAGAAATCCGACAATTATCGGTAAGACAATTTTCTTACAAAAATTTTTGCCCCCCTATAAGTACCCCTAAAGTTCGAATTTCGGATTTGAAATTTTTCCTACCCATATCTACCTATCCCAACTTAATTTCCTACCAGCAGAAGTTTTCCCATATCTTTATCCATTTTCGAGTTAGTTAAAAAAAAGCCGAATTTTAAATCCCGACACATGCGACAATTCACAGGAAATGTCTGAATTTTGTGTCAAGCATAAGTACCCTCCAAATTCGAATTTCGACTTCGAGTTTTTTCCTACATATATTAGCTTGGTCCAACTTAAAATCCTACCAGCAGAAATTTTCCTCTAAGTCCACTCAGTCCCGAGATAGCCCCGGCACCTATATTATTTAGGTACCATGGGGGTTCCAAAATCTTCCGTCCATAATTTTCCTAGGTGCGGCATAAAATTTGACCCCGGACATGTCAAACTTTCATGCCCGTATCTATACTCTGGAAAGAGCTTGAGTTTTTCCGACAAATTTTACCAATACTTTTATATAATATATTAACTAGCGATGGGTTTGGCCACTGGGGTGCCTATTACGATACTGTGGCGGTAAAAAACATCGGGGGGTTCTTTAAATTACGATACTTCTGCCCGTTGGAAAGCCTAACGGCTTTGGGGGCGCGCTTCGCGCGCCGCTAGCGATTTTTTATGCCTGGAACAAAAGATTGCATTCATTGGGACTCATACTTCCACTTAGAGTCACTTCGGGCCCTATCACTTTTTCATTGTCTATATTCATTGTCTATATTCATTGTCTATACATATTTGGCACTTTATCAATCATAACTTTTTAACCGTTAGGTCAAGAGATTCCGATGATCGGCCTCAAAGAGAACGATCTCGTTATTTCTCGTCACTACCTCCTCGAGCCTGTCCGGAAAACTAATAAATGTCCGGAAACCCCAATAATTCGTCCGGAAAACCAATAAATTTTAAGAGAATTTTGAAAGGCCAAAAAGCGTAAAAGTACTTAAAAGCTAAAAATAAGAAAAAATATTATTAAAAAAATTTATTGTAGAAAAATTCAAAACAAAAGTAATAAATTTAAATTACTTCAACATTCAAAACTTCACAAGTTGAAGCAATTTTACTCAAATTTTCGAATTGGAAAAGTTGAAGCATTTGCTTAGAGTATCAAAATTTTGCTTTAAAAAGCAAAATTCGAAATCGAAAAAAATTTGGAAGCAAAATTTGCTTCACGAAGCGAATTTGCTTCATATCCATAACAGGATCCAGCTTGGCCATCCATAAACTTTTCCCCCATATACAAAATTCACCTTTAATTTTTTCTACGGGTTGCCCCGCATGTCAG